ATCATATTAATACAAGTGCTGTTAGCAAGTATTAGAACAAAACTTTAGGGAATACTAAATGTAACTTTTGACAACAAATACTTATTCTCTGTTGGCTCTGAAAGCGGCTTCCTCACAGCAGATCGCAGAGGAAGTCAGTCTGTTCTCAAAACAGTTCTAAAGGATTCTGAAAGCTTTAGTCATCCATAGAAACTTCTCAAACCATTCAACCCACTCGTTCTGCCACTGAACAATAAGCTTAATATGTTCTTAACAATCATTCTTTCAACATTAAATGTTGCTAATGATCCTACTTCATGTGGATCTTTGGAAAACTGTTTGACCCAGAATCATAGGAATTGGTCATCACAAGGTAGCCATGCTCCACAGCATGCTCTACTTTATAATCTACTTTAAAGGTAGGTAGGTAAGAATGGAGAAACCAGCTCGAGTGCGCTAGAATGTGAAAGTACACAACCGAAAAAAATCTGCCACTTCCTTCAGACTTTCTCCAACACACACGAACACACACATGACCAATGAGGGCACGAGATAAGTGTGTGCACGAGATGGAAGGCTGACAGGCAGGTAGGCCATCCAGTTACTTTACCCGTGCCGGCTAAAATGATTGGTCGTGCTTTTTACAGCGCTACGGCTTCCACAGATGAAATATTTGTATATATTTATTGTCAAAGCATTTAATGTATTCATTGCTATCGGGATGTTAAGAGCATTCCATGGAATATAACAAAAAGTGTTTCTGAAGTGAATGACCTACCCTACCTTTAATGGGACCATCGTTTACTAAATGAACAACATGTATTAAAGAATACATGCAACATGCGTTTAAGCCCATACACTCAATTGAAAAATGGTTTACTGAGCAGAAAGAGTATTTTTCTGGGTCGGGTAGGAACATTTTCTCATAGACTTCTATACAATCAGATATTTTCACAACTCACTGACCATGTCAAAGTTTAACAAATCATGGAACAATCAAAAAAACGATGAGGCATTATGAGGCAGGGAAATTCTGTCTTGTTATAGTTATCGAGACTTGCAATTTCTCATAAAAACATGTCAGTTGCCTCAAACAAAGCAAGAGGAATAGGTTGTGCTGAGGACGCTTCTAAACATGTTTTCTCACCAAATTCTGTCAACCTTTAAATTCAGTGTACATCCTATGATTACCAGGGACTAGAGTAGCTGTAGAAAGCTTATATCATTTCAGATCCACGTTTCAAGCCATTTGGGGAGTGATCATGTGGTACTCTGGGGATTTCAGTGAGCGCCGTTTGCAAGCACCCGGAGGAATTAGGCTGCAGTTGCTTTTACACCGACGACACAAGGTTAACATCTTTTTGTCGTCCTATTTGTCTCTGCTCCTCTGAGACTTTTAGGTAATGACAGAGACGTACGATATACGCAAGTGTGTGTGTGTGTGTGTGTGTGTTTTTATGAGCTGGGGGAACAGCTACTGCTGAGTCAGCTGGGGAGAAGTACTGTCCTGTGATGCTGTGCCCTTGTAAAACATCCTCTGTTCCCCTCCCTCTATGCAGTCATCCACCTTAAGCAGCTGCAGAAGACGTTGTCATTATGAATGCATTTGTATAGACTAATTAGCCAAAACAAAGTGACAAATGCTCATTATCAGCCATTTAAGGCAACATATTGAAATTGTTTTGTCCAAAAGAAGGTCCAATCACAAAGGTACTTAAACGATCAGTGATATAGAACAGAGAATAGTCGGTACTTTTACCAAAGGAAGCATCATGGTTTAAGGCAGGGCAATATTTGTCTTTACAGTAAGGCGGTTGGACAGCAATTATTTCATTATGGATGAATCCTTTCATTATTTGGGTTTATAACTCCAAAGGTCCAAAGAAATTCTGTTTTAGTTTTCACTTTAAATCCAGGAAACCTCCATATTTGATGCTAAAAACAGCATTTTCTGACATGTTTGCTTAAAAGAAATCAGCATATAAGACTGGTTAGTCAACTGATCGTTGCAGCAATAAACTTGTAATTCAATCATTTGTGGATTGACACTACTATTCTTTCTTTCGCTGCATCTAAAGTGTATATTATTACCACCTGCATCCTGTATACATCCACATGGTACACACACGGACAGACTGTGGTTCTCGCTCTGAATTCATGCTGTTAGAAAGCCAATCGTCCCTGCGCCCTGTTCTCATGCCCCAGGCAAGGTTAGCGAGGGAGCAGCAGACAACGGCAAGTGTGTGGTGCTGCTGTCAGACATTTGTCATCAAAGATTATGGTCATTAGATCAGATGCTTTTTGTTGCATTCCCTTTGTTTTTAGCCTCCCTTTCTTCCATTGTATCTTTTTGTTTTTCACTGCCCTCATCTGCAACTGCTCAGATGGCGGGACAGTGGAGAAGCTGCGTAGTGAAAGAGGGAGGAGGAAGGGAGTAAGGAGGGAGGGTAGAAGTGGGGGATGGTGGCTTTACAAAGAGTGAGGGAGCCACTTTAGCCCTGATGCGCTAGAGGGAAGAGTGGGAGGAGGGGGGGGGGGGGAGGGAGGGAGGAGATCAGCCCACTGGGGGGGGGGGGGGGGGGCGGCAGTGAGATAATCGGCACAAGGAGAACTATTCTCCCACTCAGCTGGAACAAAATGTCTTTGCCAGTGTGTGTGTGTGTGTGTGTGTGTGTGTGTGTGTGTGTGTGTGTGTGTGTGTGTGTGTGTGTGTGTGTGTTGTGTGTTTTGTGTGTGTGTTGTGTGTGTTTGTTGATAGAGTGGTTCTTGTTTTGTGAGGTAGGTTTGGAGATCAATTGCAAAGCCAAGGTACAGGGTATGTCTCTAGTTTTGTGTGTGTGTGTGTGTGTGTGTGTGTGTGTGTGTGTGTGTGTGTGTGTGTGTGTGTGTGTGTGTGTGTGTGTGTGTGTGTGTGTGTGTCTCTGTCTGGTCCTTGCCTATCGACGGCTGTTGACAGCGGCACCACAGAGACACTCTGTGTTGTTTGTAAGAAAGGACGGCAGTGGTGGAAATACAGTAAATGTGCACAAGCCACCGACTTTAGTTGTTAGAAAACCATCAAGTGGTTCTTTCCCGTCTGAATTAGTACAATGTTTGTGAGAAAAGCTGATAACAGTGATTTAATGGACTGATACAATTCAAAACGCATGAACTGGCAATGTAATAATATCATATACATGTTGTATTGTAATACTACACTTTCATGTTATAGTACTTGCCTTTACATTTGAGTTGGAAACATTGAACATTTGGTGTTGCTGTTGCTACATGAACGTTTGGTATTTATTATAAAGCTTAAAGTTAAATAATGCTTCTTTGGGGTTGAAAACACAACACATATACAGTGCAGTATATTATTTTTCAAAGTTATCATGGTAAAATTGTTGTGGGTTGAAAGTTAACTTCAAAGGGGCCCTATTATGCTTTTTGTGGTTTCCCTTTCCTGTAGTGTGGTATATAGGCTAAAAGGTCAAAGTTCACATCATAGGCAGTTTCCCTCCCACACATTCCCCTCACTGCCTGAAACGCCTCCATTGGACGTTGTTTACTTCAGTAACATATTGACATCACTACATAACACTCACGCTTCTATTGGCTACCGCACCAACACATTGTATGTGATAGGCTAAGAGGCGGGAGATCTCCGGTTGGTTGCTGTTCATCATTCGATTGTATTGCCTCTATTTTAATCGAATACTCTGATCTGGTTTATACCTTGCCTGTGTGTTGAGTGGAGGTGGCTACAACACTCCTGTGCAATCCTGTTTTGTATAGTGACAATAATAAGACCTTGAATTCCAACTAGGGATTCGAAAGCGAAGCTGCGAAACTATTATACATACATTCGCCAAAGTTAACAGACCACCATCCTACGTGAACTATGACCTACAATGCATAAGATACACACACACAGTTTTTCCTGTAATACAGGAAAGGATTCTTACCAAGAATGAGCCTCTGGGTTCTTTTCACGTTGGGGTATTACCACTTTATACACTAACAGCTGATGGATAGACAGACTTTCTTCTTTCTCCTTTGATGCGTGAAGAGAGGATAAAAGAGATGAGGCAGGTTAGGGATTACGGGTCAGTGTAATTTCCTTTATCTGTTTTGGTTTCTGCCGGGAGGGCTTTTGAAAATATGAACTACAATTGTACGTCTGGGGCTTGAGAGAACAGAGATGAAGGGATTTCCAGTAATACCTTTCTTTCCGTTTCTTGTAACTTAATCATTCTCCTGTCTTTCTGTTACGTGGACATCTTTGTCATCTTTCTCTCATGCTCTCCTTCGCCCTGTCTGCATGTGTTTTCTCTGCCTCCCTCTTGCTAGTCTTTATTCCTCTGGTGAATCTGCGGATGAATAGAGGGACTTTTCCGTTTCCTTAATGGAGGGAAAGTCATTTATATTCTGCTCCTGTCTTCCTACTTTCTCCTCTCCCTACCTCCCATCCCTTTTCCTCCCCCTCCTCGTTCTCTTCTTGTCCACAATAACATGCAAGTACATGAGGCCAGGTTAGCGAGTTTCCCCCCTGCCCGCCCTCCCTCCCTCCCTTCCACAATGGTCACCTTCAAAAAGACCTTGCCATATGGGCCAGGCCATCTGGACTGTACCATGTCACAGGGGAGGGGGTGAGGAGGGAAATTAAAGGGTGGATACAGTAAAACGCTCTCTGAGCAGCTGCACCCTTTCAATAGCTTTGACGTGAAGTGCATCCTAAGTTTATATTGAGGTCTGGTGTTAAACTATAGTGGGTTCTCATGGGAAAGATCAGTAATAGGAGTCTTTAATAATTCACAAAGAGAGGAAATTCAATACGGGCCTCACCATTAAACAAACACACACATCACACTCTTCCAGGCCATTAAGGCTGCTGTTTGTTCTGATGGTAATCACATAGACACACATAAGGCCTATACATCATTTACTTTTCTCTTCTGGTGCACACACTCTGCAAGAATCTGTATTTTCTGTGAAACTAAATCTCCCTCTTTCCCTACTCTCTCCGTCTCTTCATTTTTTAGGAATCGAGCTTTGTTTGCCAGCCTGGCGCTTCTCCATGACCATGGTGGCCAGTTTTCTGATGGTGGTCGGGCAACTACTGATGCCAGGGGTGGCTGCTCTGTGTCGCAATTGGCCGGATCGGGATGACTGGCAGGTCCTGCAGATTGTCATAATCAGCCCCTTCGTTCTGATGCTGCCCTACGTCTGGTGAGTCTCGCCCTCTGAGGAAATCCACAGCGGGTGGAGCGCAGATTCTTCCCTCGCTGAGCCAGGCGATGGCTTGTACAGTACACACTGCTCTACACAGAACTGAGCAGCCTCTGCTTCAACTTACAAACAATACTCTCTTTCTTCTATTGTTTATCTTCTTCCTCGCTTTCTGTCTGTTTCTTCTTCTGGCTCTTACACATCTGCTCTCATCCTTCTTTGTGTGTACTTTTCACGTCCTTCCTTTCAATTGATTTATTTCGCTCTGCAGGCTTTTCCCTGAGTCGTTGCGCTGGTTGCTGGCCACCCAGCACTACAAGAGGTCCAAAGTCATGATGCTGAGCATCGCCAGGAAGAACGAGGTTAACTTGACAACTGAGCCCAGTGGAGTTCTTACAGGTGAGGGACATTAAACAAGATGAGTTATCCAAATTCCATTGAATACTTGGAATGTATGCACCATTTTGCTTAAAACACTCTGTTATGCAATTTATTTTCGATCTTCATCCATGGTATGTGATGAAACATGCAACCAACCCAAAGACTCATAGATCTTCTTTCCACATGTGCAAGCATGTAGTTATCAAGAAGCATTTCCCAACTGATTCAATGACGAAATGTAATTGCAATAACCCACATACATGATCTTCAAATAAGTCTGACTTCTTCCCACTAAGGAGCATTTTCATTTAAGTTTAATTAATTATCCAGAAAATAGTGAAAACACAAGTTCTAAAAGTCCAATGTCTAATCTTCAAATCGCGTTTTGTTTCAAATAAAAGAACTAAATGCAAATAAATACACTTTAAATAATACTGGAAAGTAAAAGATAACATTTATGAAGCTCAACTATTAGATATTGGGGATTTTTATTTACTTTTAAAGTTGAAAAGGAATTGTGTTGGATTTTCCTCACTGAGATCTCTCCTTGCTCATACTCCGTGTCTTGGTGATTGATTACGTGTTTCTGCCTCTCTCAGCAACTGAGTAGACAGATAAATGATGAGAGGCCAAAGGGATGTGCTGTATCTATCTTAAGGCTGACTGCACATTAGCTTCTCTGTGCTGCAGGTCCCTTAGTGGCCGGCCTCTCATTACCTTCTGTAAGGAAAGGTCTGAAGGTGTGCGTTTCATGTTTCTTACAGAGCTGGAGCAGGAGCTGCACAAGAAGCCCCAGAGGACCTGCATTGTCAAGATGATGAGCACCAGGAACCTGTGGAAAAACATTGTGGTGCTGTGTGTCAACTCGTAAGTGTGTCATGGCCGGACTCCTTTTCTGATCAAAGCCAACATCTGTGGTGTTGAGAGAGCATGATTTACATGAGCTCATCCCGAGAGGGAAATGTAGACATGCACGTGGGAGTAAACCCCACAGGTCTGCCCCGTGGCAGGCGCATGTCTCAGGTTCCTCCTCCCTGTCCGCTTCTTATTGTGTCTTATTTTGTGTGTGTGCAGGCTGACAGGTTATGGGATTCACCACTGCTTCGCCCGCAGTATGATGGACCCGGAGGCCCAGCCAATTGCTCTGTGCCATGCGGACTACTACACTATGGCTGGCATCGCCGTGGCAACCTGCCTGGCTGTTTGCCCCGCGGTGGGGTTGATGGGTCGGCGTGGAGGGCTGCTCACCTTCATGATCATAACAGCCCTGGCATCGCTACTGCAGCTGGGATTACTCAACCGTGAGTAATCACAAGTCCTGCTACACTTAGCTAGCATTGCTAAAGTTTTACCTATGCAGTTTATAATGATAAAATTCACTTCAATTTGGGTTGTTTTTATTTGTGTACAAATTCAGTGCAGCATTGTACTCTAATTTGGTTCTATATCCTTTCAAGGAAACATCAGTATAATATTAGGCTGTTATCTCTTGCTAACATAATGTGATGTTAATTGTAGAGAATACACAATTTATATGAAATTGAAACTTGCATCTCATTTAGCAAATACATTTGTAGTATGAGGAGTAAGCAATGAGTTTAGCATACATCTCAAACTAGTAGCAAGTCAGAGCTGCTAAAGTAACATTGATTAAAGGTTAGCATAACACAGGACCGACTCCGAGAACGAGGTTTCTTCTATTATAAGCCAAAACAAATGATACTTACCTAAAGTCATGCTCAGCTTAGGTATTGGAATTTAAGCTAGGTTGCAAATGTAGGCAAGCAGCTAGTTAGATAGGCATGCTAAGATTAGCATCTTACCATCAACCTGAAAAACAGTTATTCTGTTTTGGCAAGAAAAAACCCCACAAAAGTGCTCGGGTGGTGGATTAGTTAAAGTGTCATTATAATTTGGCATAGTTACATTTCAACTCAATTCAGTTAAGAACATCCTGAAAGTGATGTCACACCTGTACCAAAAAGAAAGCCAAAATTCAACAGTAGTGAACATGCACATTCCTGTCATTAAAACAGTGGACTGTATTTGAACTCTCACACTAATAGGAACTACTTTGTGTTGTTTTATGACCTACATATGCAGTACAGTAGTCATTATTTCAGACTTCAGTGGTAAACTGTTCAGATTTCTCCTGAAGTCCTCTTGAGTCAGCACCGTGCTGCTCTTCGTGCTTACAAATGACATGATTTCCTCTTTTCTTTTCTCCAATGCTTGCCGATGTAATCCAGTATTTGGGAAGTACGGCCTTCGCCACGACACAGGTACACTCACATCTAGTTGTTTTGTGATATACTGTAGTGTAGAACGTGTCTGTGCCCCTGGCTAATGATAAATGAGCTGTTGGTTTCATGTTGATGTTTCCGGATAAACTTACATTATCTTCTCCTCTTCTCTTCAGTTCTGCGCGATACCCTGAACAGGAAATTCTCGGTGGCTTTCTCCATCATCGGCATGTTCTCCTCTCATGCAGTCAGCACACTCAGCATATTCTTTTGTGCTGAAATTACTCCTACTGTCATCAGGTGAGCCTGGACGGTCATAAACATGAAATATAACACTTGGGGGAGCCTTCTGCTGTAGGCGAGCTCAAGGCTGGGTCTGAAATCATTTCGTATGAGCTACTCATAGTGAACCATCTACTATGCACCATTTTATTTTAGTGTCCAAATCTCAGGGTCACATTTTTATATAGCATCCAATAAATTGGCAACAGTTCAAGAAAAATGTACTAAACATTTATGTATGCAACAAATAATACATTCCTTATTGTAATACAGTAGACCTACTGTGTGGCAAATGATGAATGACATGCCCTTTTTAAGTAGATTTGAGAATGTTGTGTGTTAAACAGACATGTAGAATTCAATCAAATCAACAGTGTGAAGCCAAAGCTTAACTGATGTCTGTCAGCATATATGTTGGTACCAAATGTTGATGTACATTTTTTTTTTTTTTAAAACATACTGCGGCAATTACTATATAGTCCATACTGGGTATTACATTACACCAACATATGGAATCTCCGGGCAGAGCTCTTGTTCTCACGTTGCATATTGGCTCCATCTTGTGGTGCAGTTTTGACTGACAGGGGTGAGTTAGTTCCCAAAAGGGCGCAGTATGCTTCAGACTAACTAGTTTGTACAAACGTGTCACATAGAAAGAGGAAGAAGTATGAGAATGAAAAAAGAGAATATCAGAGAAAAAGCAGAATATTGTTATCGAAATAAATACATTTTTATAAATATGAGATGGCAAAGGAACGGCAACAATGTAATTTAACATTTAAAAAATATGTTTGTAATTGTTCTTGACAAAAGAAAAGGAGACTTAATATAATACTACTTTTTTCAGTGCAGCATTTCCCTTTCCAGTGCTCACATTAGAGTTGAAAAAGAAACTTGACTTAATAAAGACCAGGTTGAAACTGATTAAAACTAACAAGGGCACTTGATAGAAAAAAAAGTGACAATTAACACAAGAGGTAAGTTCATGAAGAGATTGTCGGTTTTGAAAATATACAAAAAAATGTCAGACAATGGAGAAGGGAGGTTTCAGGCCGTGTTTGACACTTCAACGGTTGTATGTTTTCAGTCCCGTCAGATTACCTTGGTAACAGATCCTCTCTCTGTGCAGGGGTGGAGGACTTGGCCTGGTCCTGGCCAGCGCCGGCTTCGGCATGCTCACTGCGCCCATCATGGAGCTCCACAACCAGAAAGGCTACTTCCTGCACCACGTGATCTTCGCCTGCTGCACCCTGCTGTGCATCATCTGCCTGCTGCTGCTGCCCGAGCCCCGGGGCCAGCCCCTGCCGGAGAGCATGGCGGACGGAGAGACCTTCACCCGTCAGACGCTGCTCCACCCAGGAGAGCAGCACCTGCTTCTCGCCAAGACTGACGGGGACTACTCCCGAGTCCACGACACGCCGCTACACCTCACGACCACTGGGGGCGCTACGGTGGCAGCAGCAACCGCTCTGGCAGCGGTTCCTGCCTCCTACGCCCTGGCCACTGGAGGGGAGGTGATTGGAAATCATGCCATAGCCAATGGAGTGTGAGCAATAGCAATTGTTGAATACTATTGCTCAAGCATTAACTTGAACTGGAACATTTTCAAGGGAGAAAATAACTTTTCGAATGAACCAGATGAACTCTTTAACGCTGAGATTTGAGACGGTGACGATAATACATTTGTGTAGTTTGTAGTGACTATGATTCATTCAGGAGTTGCCAAAAATATTGTACTGGACGAAGTTTACCTGAAGTCAGTGTGTGTTTGGTAATATGAAAGTCTTCAGTGGTGATTTGTCTTGCTCTGTAGTCCGCTTTGTCGAGAATGATTTACAGGTGAAAGGAGCAGACGCAGGCAAGTGAGAAGGGCAAAGTGGAGCAGACTAGCTTTCAATAACGTGTGCTCTGTGACTTTTCTGTTTGACGTTTTGACTCGTTGAGAGAGGATCTCACTGCATCTTATAATTCTTTATAAGTTATTTTTGCACTATATGTCAGAGGCACAATCAAGTGTTTGGGATTTTCGGGCCAACATGTTGGAGAGTGGAGACCCAGGGATTGGCTAAACCACTACCACTGTCTCTTTGCATGAAAGGGCACAAATTGTTTTACATGTATTTTTCTTCTTATTTGTGGTCCCTTTGCTCGAAGTCCAACGTGGCACTTTGTCCTCAGAGATGAGGTCGGGGTGGGCACTGATTTTTTTAAACAGAGCATTACTGTTTCTGGTGTGGGTGTATGATGGTTTTCTCTTGTGCGGGGAACAGCCGGAGACCTCTGCAGAATGTAAATGTAGCCTGTAGCGACTGCTGAACAAATCTGAGAGTTGAACGGACATAAGTGTGCACATGTCTTATGACGCATTTCAGCATTTGAATGGCTTTATGATGGCTCTGTTGTTTTGAACTAAACAGAGAATGTATTTCAAGAAAACCAGTATTTATTTTTGTCATGCTGCCACGGGCAATTTTGTTGCTTGAAATACCTCCTTAACTAGCAAATATATTTCCACTCCAACTCACTCGTTGTTCTCTGTACTGTGGTAATGTTGTACTCCTGCTCCTAGGATGTGTTACTCTAGCCAGAAAGCACAATGTTTTACAGTTTTTTGAAGTAAACGTTTGTGAAGATTAGATTAGAGCAGTGTGTTCTGCACAGTCCTGGCCTAGTTGTTATTAGTGTACAGTTATACACTTTATTACGTAAGTATCCCTTAAGCCTGCATTAAAATGTAAGGTATGTATACATGTAGTAGGGCTGCACGATATTGAAAAAAACTGACATTGCGATATTTTTTTTCCCCCTGCGATATATATTGCGTTTTTTTTAACTATATTTAACCGGATGAAGGATTTTAGTCACGGACGTCTGGATCTAAACTGGTTGACTCATCGTACCTTAAGTCATGATCTAACATGTCATGATAATGCATGCTGCTTACCCTCAAATAAGGGGGTTCATCTGTGAATGACGAAGAGAAGAACCTTTTTGGATCCAAAATAGTTCCAGATGGCAGATGTTGCTTTTCTTTTTGGAAGTAAATCTTCATTCTCTCCGGTATTGTCCTCCTGAGCCTCGCTCATTTTTCACCGGTGTTTTGATGGTCTGCAAACTAGCGGGGCGGGGCCTGCTGTGATCTGATCAAGAATGATTCTGATTGGTGGTTTGCTGTGCATGCAGAGCCTGCATGTCACTCACTCAAGTACCCCTGACATGAGAGCCGCGCAAGTTTTCCTTTTGTAGCAAGCAGCAAAATAATTGTAACATGACGTGTTTGAGTTAATTCACCTAATATCGCACGTCCTAAAAAAAAAAAAAGAAAAAAAAAGAAATATATTAATAAAATCGCACGTCCCTGCGATCTGAATATCGCGCATGCGCATATCGCGGTTATCGCCATGACACGATATATCGTTCAGCCCTAACATGTACCATTCATTCATAATGTGTGGACCATCGACTTTTATAGGATATAAGCACATTGAATAGATACACCATTTCTGTCATCCAAATATACGTGAATCTTTTTTAATCACATTTAGCGCTCAGTACGTATTTTGAACACCCTGTATGGTTTGCTAGATTGTATGTTTTCGACAGTTAAACACTCGGAGAAAAAAAAATAACTCAACTACTAATGTCGTTTTCTAAGTGTTGTTTTTTTAATATGATGCATTTGTACAAAAAGCCATAGGCCTACATGTTTTGATAATAAACCACTTAATTTATTATGTCAATAAAAGAACACTTGATGTGATCATCTGTGGTTATTGTGTTGGAGTTTGATGTAAGTCCAAAGAAGAACTAGAAGAAGAAAGAGGAACACCTGCTGTTTCATGTTGCCCTCCTTCCTACATGTCCTCAGTTCTACTCAAAACAATGTCCAAGAGTTCAGAAGTGCTCAGGAAGAAGCTCCAGCTCCTTTTTGATCCTCTTCTCCACCAAAAGACTGAAGTTGTTGTCCGTCATCGGGAGACTGTAACTCACGTACACTTGCTTTTTAGTTTTCTTTGCTGCAAAACAGACAAAAACAGACGATCATTTCAATTTAGTTTAGCTAACACACTAAATGGTTTGCTATACTATGCAGAAGGGCAGCTAATAGATGACTTTTGGAGTCTTGCTGAATGACTTCTTTCCAAGAAATGAATGTGCACATTTGTGGTAAAAAAAAACGTGGTACTTCAGCATGATGCTACATAGAGAACCTCAGTTTCACACATCTGACGAATGAAGAAACTCTAAATCGATTAGCTGACAAAATCTTATGATTGGACCCAGGGGCGGATCTAGACAAATATTCATGGGGTGGCAAGAGGGTGGCAGGAGATTTTGAGGGGTGGCATCCCCTGACAGAAGTATATGCTGATTTAAATCGCAATCATATCAATCAATTAGGGGTGTAACGGTACACGTACCCGTACTGAAATTATTCAGTACGGGCCCTTCGGTTCGGTACACGTGTGTACCGAACGAATATAGCGTTAAACGTAAACAAATTGAGAACATGAACAACTTTCTGGAAGTAATCTCAGGTATATATCATAGAGCGACCAAGTAATTTCATTGGACGAGAGGCATACTATGAGAGCTGGTCACAGGGATGCGTTCAAATGTAGTCAGTAATTTGAGGAACTGTCGAAATGGCGAACGCAGATAAAGTTGAGCTGAAAATCCTCCAGCATCATTGAAGTCTCCGGTTTGGGAACATTTTGGTTTCGTAGTTACGTACAAGGATGACGGACAAAGACAGGTGGACCGAACCAAAGCTGCTTGTCGGTATTGTTCAACTAACATTGGTTACGCGGCTGGCAATACATCACACTCATTTGAAAAGGCATCACCCGAATGTGAATATCGCCGGTACCAAAAGAAAAAAGACTGAAGTGCAAACCCAACTCCCACTAGCATGTAAGCCTCCACCACTCGCAAATAGTTCAGACCGAGCCAAAGCTATTACAAACGCCAAGTATCCTTATGTTGCCATGTTAGCAAAGCGCTACCTGGCTGTGCTACCTCTGTCCCTAGAGAGGGTGTTCTCCACAGCAGGAGACATTGTTAGTGCCAGCAGATCTGCCCTTTCAGCAAGCAATGTGGACAAGTTAATCTTTCTTTAAACAACATGAAAATACAATGACAAGCAAGTCCTAATGTCAAGCTGGCTGCTTAGGTACTAGTACAGTTCAAATACAGATTATTTCAGTTCATCGAAATGCTGCACCTTAATGTTTATTTGACTATATTTTGTATTTATTTGAATACATTAGTCACAGTTTAATAATAATTTAAAAAATGTTTTTAATGTTTTGTGATAATTTTTTCTGCTGTACCGAAAACGTACCGAACCGAACCGTGACCTAAAAACGAGTTACGTACTGAACCGAAATGTTTGTGAACCGTTACACCCCTACAATCAATGTTAACTTGGAAAGCCACAATATTCATATTTTAACTCAATCACATAGGTGATATTATTGTGGCACATCAGTAAAGCCTTACATATAAATATATAAGGTGGCAGACGTAATTTAATGAATTTTAACTGAACAATAACTGAATGAGTTTGTCTCACTCTTAGACCAGCAGGGGTTCCAAATCTATGAAGACTGCTGCAATAAGTACATTAATTAACTGTCTCATCGATGTTTGTCTGAATGAATATGATACTATTAACAATCATATTATTCCTATAAGCTGTCAATCACTGTTAATAAATAATAATAATAATAATAATAGATTTAATTTGTTAGCGTTTTTACAGGTGCTCAAAGACGCTTTACAGATATAGTGAATAACTGTTATGATTCACATATTCATTTATTATTGAATAAACTATATTTTTTGGAGGAGTTAATGATGAATGTTCATCAAGATGCTTGCTCGCCCTCCTTCAAATTTGAAAAACAAGTAATTATATCATTATTGATATACAGTTACAACCTTGACTTTACATCAGAAAGAACAAACATTAAAGAAGTGACTAACTGCATCAGTTAGGGTTAAAAAACGTGTATTCAGCTAAAACATAAACATCGCTGCAGTTATTATCCAGTGGAAGGTCCTTACCTACTGGCCTAGTTAAATCAAAGTGGTTACTTTCTGTTGGCTGGGCAGTGTAGTTTTACACACCGTCTTATTTTACTTTCTCAGGACTTAAAACAGTTTTTTGGGGGCAGACCCCCTCAAAGAAAAAAATATATACACGCATACAAGGTCATCATCTTAACAGTTTGTTATTCTCATCGAGTCATCCGTGAGCAGAGCATCAAGTTGGCATGTCTATTACAGCTGAATGCGGCGATTACTATTTTGTTCAGCAAAACGCCTCACAAACTTATTAAGATCAACAGCTGTAGTGCGTTTTGATTCAATGCTGAGTACAGCCAAACTTGACATTCTCTTCTCTGTCATTGTAGACCGCAACTACCTCATTCCTTTAGTGCTTGGGTCTGAAAGGCTTCTCGTTTTGCGCCGTCCCGTTCAAATGAATTCGCCACCAATCATATTTCCACTCTCGCGCCAGGACCGGGGGAGGGGTTACATGACGTGCATCTTGTGCTGCATTCACTTGCACTCGGACATTAGAGACTTTCTCTCATAAATGTCCGATGAGCAACAACTTTTCTTTCAAAACAAAGATGCCAACTGGGGTGGCAGCTGGGGTGGCAAGGCTATTGTTTAGGGTGGCAGTTGCCACCCCATGCCACCCCGGTAGATCCGCCCCTGATTGGACCCCATCAGTGTTTTGCATGTTTTAGCCAAACATTTACAAAAGCGTGCCAAAGGACTTCTGTGTGTTTTCCCCACACATTCCAAGAAGCCACTGGTTTTTTATTTGATTCTGGTTGGTATGGAGATCGACCTGTTAAGACTTGAAACTCACATCTGGAGCCAAGCATAGTGAATATCATTATCACTTTTATTTTTGTCAAACTCGTGTATCGTTTTGTGGTTACATAGTACATTTACCCAAGTGCTGTACTTAAGTACAACCAACAAAGAATGTTACACTATTCTATAATAAAATAAAGGGAAAAATACTTTCTGTAAAATCATTGTGATACTTGAGGTAATACTGTAGGCTTGTTCAAGCAGCATTCAGAATGTAGGACTTTTACTTTTAATTGAATATTCTTTGACAGTGACTTTTACTAAAGATATAAGTACTTCTTCCACCACTGCATAGCAGAAACTTTTTAAATCAACTCACACATGAAACTGTATTAACACAACTGCAAGATTTGGAGAACTGTTAACACTAAAATGAATTACAAGCAGTTTCAAATATATGGGAAAAAACATTCAAAATATAAATGAATATAACCACAGCTGAAAATAGCGTTAGTGTTTAATAAGTTATTATAACTTTCTCCATTGACAGCAATAAAAAGACAATACATTCGAGAAAAGTAAAACATAATTACCTAATCTCTGCGCTAAGGAATTTGCAGCAGTGTTAGATGGGTCCCCCATGACTAATGTCGATAAAGGCATCGAATCCTGCAGACAAAAAGCAATGAGTAGAACAGCGGTTATTCTCTAGGCAAGACAAAATAATTAGATATCCGACATAAAAAAATAGTGCTAGACTTTCTTATGATCTGTTCGTCAGCTGGTGTTCCTAAATGTGTCAGCTTTGTGTTTGTAGTGTTATAGTCAGAACTGTACTTTACATTACATGTCATTTGTTAGTCGTTTTTATCCAAAGCGACTTACAAACATTCAGTACTGTGGACAATCCTCACAGAAGCATTTTGGGGTGAAGTGTCTCAGGGACACAACGACATGCTGACTGCAGTGGGACTCGAACTTGCTACCCCCTGATTCGAAGTCCATCACACTAATCACTGAGCCACAGCCTCCATTTTAGGCAGCAGATTTATTAACACTGATGGAACAATCATATACAATAACACACACACACACACACACACACACACACACACACACACACACACACACACACACACACACACACACACACACACACACACACACACACACACACACACACACACACACACACACACACACACACACACACACACACACACACACACACACACACACACACACACACACACACACACACACACACACACACACACACACACACACACACCACACAACACACGCTGCAAAATAAAAGGATAACAATACGGTATAGAAAGTACAAAAGAGATTAATGCATTTTTTTAAAAGAATATTTCTTTTAATAAAACAATAAGTATTAGAGAATATACATATAACGTATACATTTGTAAAAAATAAGTGAAGTAAAACATATACAACATTTCCCTCTGATTTTTAGCGTAGTAGTCTATTAGTATAACGTAAACTCAAGTACAGTGGCGGGAGTGTGCACTGAAGTACAGTACTTGAGTAAATGTACTTAGTTACATTACATTGTCTACTCACATATTTGCTGCTCATGGAGACCGCCAGGTTGGACAGAACCGGACTCGAACCGACCCACAGGAAGAACCCGCCGCTCAGCTTCATCACGTGAAAGTGTATGGACTGCTCCAAAATTTTCTCCGAAAATTATGCACCGTAATGGCCTCAAAAACTTCTCCGTTTTGTGTCTCACTCATCTTTTTTGGTTTAAGTCTATCTAACATTGACTAGCAAACATTTAAACTCGTGCTAGCTGCAAACAGAAACAGCTACTTCCGGATGAGAGAAAAACGGCAGTCCAAAGTAATCGATCGTCAATGCTCTAACGTGCAGCACCAGCACAATCGATCGTGACCATCA